CTTTGTTTGGCCAAAAGAAAAAAAAAGAAAAAAGATACCTTTAGTTACCCTACATCAGGGGTAGGCAACCTCGGCTCTTTTATGACTCATGGACTTCAACTCCCAGAATTCCTGAGTCAGCATGGGAGTTGAAGTCCATGAGTCATAAAAGAGCCGAGGTTGCCTACCCCTGCCCTACATCATGCAGTCAGCTCCTACAACAATGGTGTTACATAGTAGTAATGAGACTGTCCAATAAGCATATAAACGGCTTCCCTTTTCATCAGTTGGAATATCTGAGTCATCTTGAACAACAGCCCTATATAAAATGGATTATATGTCCTCAACCTTCGAGTCTTCCTACAGTAGCTCGGTAATTGGGTCCATCCACTTTGCTGTTAGTCGTCTTGCTATCTTTTCCTCCACCTTTTCCAGCAATACATGCTTTTCCAGAGAGCTAGGTCTTTGTGTAACATATCCAGAGGAGGATCATTTGAATCTGGTCAAATTCTTGAGAACTCTTATGTTGATTTGTTGATGATCTATTTGTTTGTTTCCTTGGCTATCCATGATATCCCAGGAGTCTTCTCCAACACCAACATTCAAAAGCATCAATGCTTTTTCTATCCCGCTTCTTCAAAGTGCAACTTTTGCTTCCATAACTGTCACTGGGAAAATCATTATTTGCATCATTTTGAACTTTGTAGGTTAACAAACCTACAAAGTTCAAAATGATGCAAATAATGATTTTCCCAGTGACATCAAAGCATCTGTATATATATATATTTTCCAAGGCCTTCCTTATTACATTACCAAGTGCTAGCCAGCAATGTATTTCTTGACTGCAGGTTCCTTTATTAATGATGATGAACATGATGATGATCATATTCCATCAAGATGGTCTTGACTTTTAGTGATTAGATTTTCTGCATGATGATCTGTCCTTAACCTTGTCCTTTAGATATTCCAACAATATATTCATCCATCTGTAACTGAGTCATCCATCTTGTTGCTTACACCAAAATAAATAGACTAATGGATACTAGTTGTTCATATGCTCTGAGTTATCACTCTATTGACCTAATTCCGGGGTGTCAAACTGCCGACCCGCGGGCCGGATGCATCATAGCGAAACCGTGCCCACCCCATTGCCGACAATGGCAAAAAAGTTGCGATACGTTGCGACACGTCACGTGACGTTGCAAGTTTGACACCCCTGACCTAATTGATACAGAAAAGTATCCTGAGGTTAATGTCACTTATATTGAAAAATGGTAACAACCATAGATTTAATTGCGAACATTAGTTTCCAAGATGCATACCACAGTCCCTCTTCTGCTTGCATTTAGATAAAATAAAATAAAATAAAGGAACTCTTTCTTATCCTGCATTATAGTTTTAAAAAGTGCATGTTTTATTGACTGGCTGATTGCAGTGTTTATTTGCTGCCTACTTGTCAGATATATAAGATGTATATAAATAAAAATGTAAATGTTCGTTTGTTCAAAATCTTAAATCTCTGAAAGTTCTTCACCGATTACTTTGAAATTTTGACACAACATTGCATTCGAATACGCGTGTGTTTTTATATACCTATATTATATAGATGTCACACTTGTGACAGGTAAAAACATGCTTTTTTTGAAAAACACCGCCATCTGTTGGACGTAAAAGCAACACACGCTTTTACCAGACTGAGCCACAGCAACGCGTGGCCGGGTACAGCTAGTATTAAAATATTTAAACTCCATATAAATCCCATCTAAGATAAAAAAATACATCAGTTGCTGTTCTCTAAGTTGACAGATTTCCTTTGGGAATCCTCTGGGGACGACGAACTTTTTTGAGGATAAAAAGGTAGGGCTAACTGGACTTCAGGGACAATCTATTCCACAATGAGGAAACTGCCACAAGAAAGTCATTCTCGGAGCCCTAAATCCCTTGATTTCTCCAGGAGTGGATATCTGAAGTATTATCTTCCTGCTTAAAGAGCATGTCTTAGGTCAATTCTGCTGCAAGCTTTCGAATGTAGCTGAAGACCCATCCTCCAGAGCAATTTTTTTCCTGCTGAGTAATCCAGTCCTGGTCACTTCTGCCACTTTCAAAATGTAATTACTCTGACAGGAAAGCAGCAAGGAAAATAAAAATCTGCTACTATGCTTCCACTGAATTTCAACAGATGGATTAGAGAAGATAATGAAAATTCCAGGCATCAGAACACACAGTCAATCAAATTTTTATTACGGTCAAAACCAGCATAAGGAGGGTGGGTACAGTCAATTAAAAAGCATCTAAAATATTAATAATTATAAAAAGCCAAAAGATATAAAACAGACAGTGTGTATCTGAAAGGAGGAGTAGGAGCATTAGATGGCGGCAGGGAAGCATAAACTTTAGTATGGGGCAGATAAATCTATCAAATTACAGAGCACTCTAGCATGATGAACTAGATGCTCACTTAGACTAGTTTTTGGCACAGGCATCATCTGACGGATTTTAAGCAGCACCGCACAGAACCTGGCAACATTATATGTCAGTGATGGCAAACTTTTTAGAGACCGAGTGCCCAAACTGCAACCCAAAACCCATTTATGCATCATTGGGTGCCGGCTGGGTGTGGCCCATTGGGTGGGCGTGGCTGTGGTGGTAACGGCAGACTGGGTGGGACTAAAAAGTTCAGTCAATCAATTCCAACTTTGCAAGATCTTTTTTTTCCCGCGAGAAGTTGAAATTGACTGATTGATTGAACCTTTTTTTTTTTTTTGCACACATCGGCGGAGGCCTAAAGCGAAAAGGTTTTATAAAACCCAGCTAAATGCCTAGGACTGGGGCGACAGCGCGCGTGCCCACAAAGAGGGTTCTGAGTGCCGCCTCTGGCACCCGTGCCATAGGTTCGCCACCATTGTTATATGTTGTAGCAGGTTTGGTATTTGAAAGCAGCTGGGAAGTGTAGAATTGCAGTAATGGTGAGATGAATGTCTTTGTAATATAGGCACTGGAGAAGCACATGCTCTGTTGCTTCTGTGTGTCCAGAATCATGGACCATTGTCTCTCTCTCTCTGGGTAGGGAGTCTTCCTGTAATGCCTTCAAGGACAGCTTGGGGAGGAGTTTTAACTTTTCTTAAAAAGAAAGGATAGTTTATCAAGCAGCTGGAATTACTTTTAGATTTGGCAAAGCTGTAGGAAGGTTTAGAGCAGGGGTCCCCAACCTCTGGTCCATGGACTGGTACCGGGCTGCAGCATGCCAACAGCTGGTCCGCACAAACAAACAAAGCCCCATCCGTGGGATGCAGGCAGCACACAAAACTACGCACTCTCCAGTCCGTGGACAAAACTTTCTCCATGGAACTGGTCCCTGGCGCCCAAATGTTTGGGGACCTCTGGTTTAGAGGGTCTTTTAAGGTTAGGCTTCAGGTGCATGCCTTTCCACAATTTCTGTTGTCGCAGAATGCAAACCCCATCCAATTTCTGTAACCTGCCACCAAGAGAAGTGGACACAACATGAAACGCCAGCAAGTTACACCAAAATGGTCACCTAGCTGAGAACCACATCTTTTCCATTTCACTGTCACCATAGTCACAACACTATCAAGCAATCAGATGTTAAATGTTACAGTATTTGACACCTAATATTTGTATGGTATTCCTATTGTAATCTGGGCTATGTTCTCTTCCTGCCAAGATTCATTGATTCGTCACTCGGGGAAAAATATCACAATATAAAAAACCTACAGTCTTGAAAACATACAGGCAACAGACCGCCAACAGGTTCTTCTCATAAGTCCTTGAACACAGTCTTCCTTAAAACCGGGAGCCATCTGTTGACCATGCCTGGTATTAACTTTGGGAATTGCAGCCCAAGAAAGCCATAGGTTTCCAGATTGAGTAAGGTTGTCTTAGCATATGCAATCCCATGAAAAAATACACTTACTTACCATAAAGGATATATTCCAAGCCTAGAAATAATGAAAATAACAGCAAACGAAAGGAAGAGGAAATCGCATAGTTTTTGAAACTTGCAGTAGTTTGCCATTTTGGCTGCCTGTAATAAGAAAAGGAAATAGGTCACTTTCTTTCTAAAGAAACTGGGCAGAAATTGTACTGTACAAAATATGCATTGTCACTATTTAAATTTTTACTGCCCTTACGACTTCTGCTTTGAAATTTTGCAAAATATTGTAAGGACAAAAGTCGACCCTGTCCATTAACACTTCTCGTCTTATTTTTTAAATATCTCTACTGCTATCTGGCATCTTTATTTCTCAATTATAATAAATTATAATATTGCATTTTTTATAAGACTCCAAACTTAAATAAGCTTATTCAAAACATTCTGACTTCAACAGGACCTAATCCCTAGAAACAATACTAGGATTCTTTTTTTCACACATCTGTTTCCTTTTTCGTTTATTCATCTATTTTTTATTTTATTGTAAAGAAGTTAAAATATAAAACTCCATTAAATCCAAAAAGACCAAAAAAATCCAGAAAACAATCAAGACATTAAAAAAGTGCATTAAAAAGAAAAAAAAGCCAACACATATACACATGTTATTCCCCCCCTAATTGAATACTGATTAATACATTACTACAATATTGGTGGTTTCCATATCTTGTGTCACAGGCACCCCCCAATTTTTTTAAACTAGTAAATGTATTTGCAAATTATTGACCTGTCTCCTATATACTATATTAATGACAAATTAGTTAATAGAAAAAAATGTCAAGGTTAAGGTTTCAGAAGTCCCTGTTAACAAACTGTTATCATAATCCACTCAGAAAATTTGCCACGGTGTCTTATCTATCCCAAATCGTTCCAAAAGTTAAAAGTAATTCATCCTGAATCAAATATCCATGTTTGTTTCTTAATGCCATCTCTTATCAATTGTTGTCTAATTAAATATAATAAATTCAGTCTTCACTGTGGGTCTATCTTCCCAATGAAGTCCAAATAGAAGTGATTTCCAGTTAGGTATAATAAATCCATTCTCTAATCTCCCTCCTTTTCGTAGGAAAAAAGAATTTGTCACTTCCCGGTTCAGTCAGGCTCCTAATATTGTAAGGATACGCAGGCTTAAACTTCAAAGACAACAGGAGATCAAGTCAGTTAATTCTCTGGCTGTGGGGATATCTCTTTGGTCTGCAACTTTCAGATCAGAGTCCCTTTGTGAATCTAACTTATCCAAAACTACATGCCACTGCATATTTTCCATGGCCATTATCATCTCATCAAATGTTTTTTTAAAAAGTCTCAACTAAAAGCTGCATGCTACCCAGCAGTCTTTTCGTAGATTTCAGCCACCATTGCTTATCTACAATCTGATTCATTGTAACTCTGTGAAACTTGATCAGGGAACAAAAAAAAAAAAAATGATGAAGCAGAAAGAAACAGGATAGATATTTTCTGGCTATTTCAATCCAAGGTTAAAAGAAAAATTCCAAATATTTTGCAAATTCAAAAATACAAAACTCCTGTGGTGAGAGTCTAATTAATGTAAATCAAATAAAAGCACTTCATCATCCAGAAACACTGTGGTGTTTCCTTACAGGGAGAACAAAGGTCATTCAAAACAACATAAATCAAAGGGGGAAAAAAACAAACCAGCTAAAGTCCAGCAAGGAGTTGAAATAAATCAGCATTCCACTGCTGATCAACTTTTAAGAATTGATCAGCAGAGTAAAACAAATTTAGGAAGTGAAACTCAGATGTGCTTAAGAAAACTGCTGAAAGGAAGATGGATTTGCCCAAGTGCCGTCCAAAAGTCATCTATTTGCTTTTTCTTCTAATTCAATCACATTCTTATTATTTGTTCCCTACATATTCAATTCCTTCTTTCGATTACATTTCAAATACTATATACATGGGCTTACAAAAAGTTTTGACAAAGTCTTTGTAGCAGATTTAGGGGACTGAAGGCAGATGATGACAAGTATTTTAGTACTCTATAACAGGGCTTTTCAATCTTTTCACCCATTGTACCACTTTTAGGATACGGCAACATCCGAGTACCACCAGTCGCCTAGCAAGGTGTCAAAAACTTGATGACCAAAAAAAAAAAAGGAAAAAAGTGATAAAGTACAGGTAGTCCTCGACTTACAACAGTTCACTTAGTGACTGTTCGAAGTTACAATGGCACTGAAGAAAGTGCCCCCCAAGACACAGCCGAGCAAGACACCTGCCTGCCCACCCGGTGGCACTCTTCCTGCTGTCCAAGGTTTTCATTGCTGTGAGCATTTCTGTTGAGGATTGGCAGCGGGGGTGGGGTGGGGGGTGTTTGGTTTTTATTCCCCCCCCCGTCTGCTGGGTGGTTGCAGCAGATTTTGGTTACTTCACATGACCCTGGGACACTGTGATCGTCATAAATATGAATCAGTTGCCAAGCATCTGAATGTAAATCACAAGACCCTGGAGATGCTGCAACATTCCAGCTGATCGGCGTTTCTTCTGGGCTCAGCAGAAGTTTCAGGATCAGTGCTGCTTTCCAGCTGATTGGTGCTTCTTCTGGGCTCAGCAGAAGCACCAGGATCAGCGCCGAGCTCCAGCTGGAGCCTGGCGCTGATCTTGGCGCTTCCATTGAGTCCTGATAGCCCTGAAGAAGCAGCGATCAGCTGGAAAGCGACGCTGATCCTGGCACTTCCGCTGAGCCCTGACAGCCCTGCAGCTCCAGCCATCTCTCGCTCAGGCTTGTGCGGTGCTGCCACCGGTTCAGCTCATTCCCCTCCCCCACTACTTTTCTAGGATGGTCACATACCACCTGCCAGGTGCCAATGTACCACAGGTGGTACCCGTACCACTGGTTGAAAAGCCCTCCTCTATAAAGCCCCTATTTTCTTTCTATGAGAGGCAGCTGGGACTGGGAGGAGTTCGGGCTGACAGAGGCAGCTGAACTTCCTCCTGACCGGTAAAATGTTGACTGGAGGTTTTGACAATATCAAAGATTGCAGGAGCAGGTTTTCTGAGTAGGTATAATAGTATGTGGGAATGACCTTGGGAGAATGGATAAAGGGTTGCTGCCTAGGGAACGGTCAAACAAGGGACAGCATAGCCCAGTGATTGCAAAAGACTGAGTGCCCAAACTGCAATTCAAAACCCACTTATGCATCGTCCGGTGCTGGGTGGGTGTGGCCCATTGGCTGGGTGTGGCCAATTGGGTGGGTGTGGCCCATTGGGTGGGCATGGCTACGGTGGTAATGGCAGACTGGGTGGGACTAAAAAGTTCAATCAATCAATTCCAACTTTGCAAGATCTTTTTTTTCTCACAAGAAGTTGAAACTGACTGATTGATTGAATCTTTTTTTTTTTTGCACACACGGTGGAGGCCTAAAGCAAAAAGGTTTTATAAAACCCAGCTGAAGGCCTAGGATTGGGGCGACAGCACGCGTGCCCACAGAGAGGGCTCCGAGTGCCACCTATGGCACCTGTGCCATAGGTTCGCCACCACTAGCATAGCCTGCAGTTGCAAAGTTGGTGGAGCAAAAGGCTCAGGAGGGACCCTCCCTGGGTTATTGGGCAGTACAGTTGACAGTGGGAGAACTGTCACTTTAGATTTGCAAACTTCTGTAAATGTAGCTTTACAATAAAACAGAATTAGTTTATCTGGTCGTTTCCTGTCTGGTTTAGCTGCTAAGGATGACACTAGGCCTGGACTCATGTCCTTTCTTAAGTGCCTGGGAGAATAAGAACCAGCAGGGTGAAATTAGTCAGAAACGTATCAGCAAAAACATCAGGAATGTTTACTTTTTTTTCCCAGCGCTGCTATGTTATATGTACTTTTAAATTTGGTCACATTTTACTTCTGTTGTTGCTTGCCTGTGTTAAAAATTTACTCATATATTATCTAAAAGCTAGCAGTATGTTTTAAAGAAATTCTGATAATGACACAAATAATTCAGGCTGATAAAAATAAACAACAACAAAAAAGGATTCTGAACAAGGTGCAGAAAGTCAATGCCACTGTGTTCATGAGTGTCACTTCCAAAGACAAATACAAAGGTATTTATGGTCTTACAGAAACAGTACCTTAAAACAAATGTCAATACATTATGAGCTTTCACAGGCTACAATATTTGTTCCAGGTAGAGACCATTTTGGACAGCAAAGAATTATTACAAATAACCCTCTCTTACCTCCAGCACGACATCGACAACATCATGAAGACAGAAAGTCAAGGTTCCAACTCTTGTGAAATTGACTACATAAGAGATAATTATTAATAGGACTGTCACAATATGATGTGTAAACATGATGCTAAAATCCTGGAAGATAAAGAGAGAGAAAATAAAGCACGGTTACATAAATTAGTTTTAGATTTTCAATGTCTGGGTTCAGTAATTTTTTAAAAATCTAATATTAGACTTATGTATTGTAAATATGTCATAATTTTTGTGTAATTCTTTTACGCAGCGAACTATGATATACAAAATGCAAAGTGTATAAATTAGAATGCAAGCATCAACTTAGCGGAAACAAATACAAATAGGTTTACTGTAAAGCACCGTATAGCATTGCTCAACTTGTATCAAGAAACAACATAAATGACTGTATCTAAAACAAACACAAAGACTAGGTGCCTTGCTTTATTGTTTTCTGAACAAGGGGAGCCAACATGGCTGAGGGTTACAATGGTGGGACAGCTGCAGGAGCTCCCCTTGAACATTCCTTCTGTAATGTTGCCATTCTCATCTCCCAGAGCTGGTATCCCTGGCTGCCTTGAATAATCTGAATGCCTTCTGCAAAGATCTCAGAGAGGATAGCTGGGGAAAGCCCTGGTCAATGTCGGAAACATAGAATAAAGGCAAAACAATTCTCGTGAGTGTTATGTACCTGCCTGCATTGCTCTGCTCATAGGACTCTTATTGCTGCCTTATAGCATTGGCTTGAGGGAACAGCAAGCAGAGCAGCTGTGAAGGAGCAGCACCCACCATTATATTTTATGTCACCAGAGCATCTAGCTAATTTTGATTCCTTTTTGCAGGAACAAAAGAGCTGTGTCTTTATTTTCTACTTCGATGTTTTTGAAGAGAAAGGAAGTCTATTTTTTCTTTTGTGTCATTTTATTTATTTTATTTATTTATTTTATTAAATTTATATCCCGCCCTTCTCCTTGCGGACTCAGGGCGGCTAACAATCGGGTAAAAATACACAAATAACATTACAAATTTAAAAATTAGTTAAAAAGGAAATATTTAAATTTAATCTAATTAAAATATAATTAAAACCCCCTCTAAAAGTTTCCCCTAGGCCAGTCCCGCNTTCCAGAGGGTGGGAGCTCCCACAGAGAAGGCCCTCCCCCTTGGGGTCGCCAGCCGGCACTGTCTGGCTGACGGCACCCTGAGGAGACCCACTCTGTGGGAGCGTACAGGTCGATGGGGGGTAATCTGCGGCAGGAGGCGGTCTCGAAGGTATCCGGGTCCGATGCCATGGAGCGGTTTAAAGATGATGGTCAGCACCATGTCTCACGGTATTAGGTAGTCCTCGCTTCACAATCCTTGCGGTTATCTATCCCTGCCACCCCACACTGATCTTTGTGGCTGATGCCAGCTGATGCCATGCTCAGGTGAGGCAGCTGCTGCCCCTCACGAGAGTTTGGGGAGGCTGCATGAGGGCCTCAGCAAGGCCTCAGCTGGATGCACCTCATCAGCAGCAGAAGGAAAAGAAGTGCAAAGGTCAGCTGGGGCTAGCAGGGGCAGACAGCTGAGTGCCAGATGGCCAAAAGGGCAGAGATGTGGGGGAAAGAGAGGTGGATGAGGCGAAGACACAAATTGTGTGTTTTTATGTATGGGCACACGTATATAGGTACTTGGCAGAAGAAAGACCATACCCTATCTGCTAGAGCCAAGATATCTATGCATGCTCATAAATGCTATTCGGTTTCTTCAAGGATCATGGACTTCAGTAGATGGGTGTCCACCACAAGTATTTCCCTCTCTCCAAAAGCAAATTAAAAGGATCTGCTTTTTTCTCTCTCAACTCTTACCTTAATGCAGATTGAGCAATTCACACACTCTCAAAGGCCGCACCAGGATGTGTAGGCATGTTTCAGGAGTTGTAAATGGGTGAGATGAATGGCTCAAGGATTAAAGCATTCGTTTAGCCCTTAACACTCCCCAAACCTTAAAATCTACAAAACAGGTCAACATGTTTGGCTCCTTGCTCTGGAAGGCACGGATAGAATGGTGGAGGACCAGACAGCCTGGATTTTTTTTTTTTAAATTAATACCTAGGAATATTAATGGACTTGATAAAGTGCCTTGCTTTTCATATATGACTTTAGTATTCTGAGAAAGACAGTGTGAGTTGGACAGGTATTGGGAAGATTCAATTTCAAGAACACCCTTAACTCACTGGTGGAATATGAATATAAATCTAACAAATAAAATAAATAAACACATGGGGACATTCCGAGATTGCCCCTGGTGTGTTTAATATAAAAATACACCTTATCCTCTGTCAGATGCCACAGGATATAGGAAGAAAGAGACACGTATTCTTTTTATGGCATTATTGTTGCCATAATAGTTTAAGTTTCTACTATTCCACATTAGTAGGATAAGCGCTGGGTTACCTGCCTGAGCAGGGGGTTGGACTTGATGACCTCCAAGGTCCCTTCCAACTTTATTATTATTATTATTATTATTATTATTATTATTATTATTATTATTATTATTATTATTATTACTACTACTACTACTACTACTACTCTAATTATTGCTGGTTTAAAACAGGTCCCAAGAGACAGTTTTCTAGGATATTTTGATAGCTTTTTCTGACATCTGGAAAAGAAAATTACACACATGCACACCTCTATGATGCAGGATAATTAGCAGTTCCTGCAGTTTCAAAATTGGTATTAGCTATTCCAACTCTTCATAAATACCTATGCAAAGGAACAAATCTAGATGCTCTTGGCCAGGTTATGATTTGAAGTAAATGTCACCATTTCATCTGCTTTTCCAGGAAACACTTTATTGTCCTATAGATGAAGCTAAATCTCTTCCTCCCAACTTAAAATTTTAGTACACTAATAACTTATTAAGGTGGCCCTTTTCTAAAAGCCTTTAAATAGTGACTTTGAGATAAGTCTCTAAAAATAATATCTGGCAAAACAGACCTAGCCTAGTCATCCTACCAAAGTGTAAAAGTTACAATAGTAAATTTGACTGATGTGCAGAAGAAATATTCTAGGACAACCATAAATATCTTGGTAGTCCATTCTCTCCCCTTAATTCTTTCTGTATACCATAAAAGTAGCATAGTGATACATGGGAAAATGCTAATTAAACTGCCCACACATGCCTCTTAAGCATACACAAGCTGCACATGATGATAGCCAATAAGGATAATTCATCCCTCATGGCTCATTAGGAGCAGTGAAAAAATGGCATCTGTTCCATCAGGTTATTTTTGCCGAATGCTCATCTGATCAAATGCACTGGACTGCAGATACTGTTCATGAAACCTTAGCCAAGCAGAGATAACTTAGTGGAATAAACACATCAATAACCGAAAAGAGCCTTTTGGAAATCAGGAATCAGTTCTATTGCAAGATGCTTTTCTGTCAAGAGTTTGCTACTGGATAAACAACAGGATGAGCACATCTGTCTTTTCAATATAGTATGGAAAACCATTCATAACTTAGGATTATCCAGTTGTTGGATGTGGCTTGCTATGCCTTCCCTCCTCAGCTAATATATAAAGCTGCAATGTGAACGAAGCCACAAACATTAATTCCAAAAACAATGGGTTTTTAAAAAAACCAGTTGCTATGAAGATTGCTCAGTTCTGTATTTCTGTGTGGCAGACTGCTATGGTTTTCTAACAGATGGAGGGGGAAAAAACCCTCCATTTTCTTCCTTTGTATTTCTTCTTTTATCTATTTGAGACCCCTTTCCCACATGACAATAAATTGACTTGGGGTATCCATGTGACAGAAAAAAGATTCTCTCTCCCATCATGTTGGCAAAGGCAGCATACAAAAGAAACCTGGACCTCTTATAAGTCAAGGAGGGTATGGCTGAATCCTCAAACTAAGAAGTACCAGTTATGGTACAGAGGGACTGAACAATTCTCCTCCCTCTCTTGTGATGTAATGGCCCTGGAGCTTTTCCTGGCATATGAAACTCATGGAAAAAATCTTTGCAACAGAAGTCCTCAGGTTACATTCTTATATATAAGATACTTTTAATGAAATAAATACATGCACATGACTTTTGGTGTTGTTCGCCCATTTCCCCTTTTACTGCATCCCCACTCCTTCTTCTCTACCTTCTTTCTCCCTTCCTTCTCTTTCTTCCCTACTTCCCTCTTCTTCCTCTCCTCTCCTCTTCTCTTTCACCACTCTCTCCTCCAACCTTCCTCCATGTATTTATTTCATTAAAAGTATCTTATATATAAGAATGTAAAAAGAATGTATGTTAATATCTGATAAATATCACAGTATATGTATGGGGGAGAGTTTGGAAAAATAAAAAATAAATTTAATTAAAAAAAAAAAAGAAGAAGTCCTCAGGTTGTTACCCAAGCCATAAGAGCCAGTTTATATTCTTTAAAGTGAAGGGCATGCAGCACCAGGTATTAGTCTCTTGTACAAAGTGAAGTTAGGGGGAAGTCAGGAAAAGCATTTGTCAAACTGTTAACTCTGTTAATCACCTTTAGGTTCTTTCTTGTACCCCTCCACTTATTTATGATACTTTCCTACACAAAGCTGAATATTCTAAGAAACACAACAGATGGGAGTCATGAAAAACCTGAGTCACAAGCGTGATTTTTTTATTTAGGATTTATCTCGCCTTCATTCGCTTTCTTTATATAGCCTTCCAGATTCTTCCATGCTCTGTGTGGGACACACTGGGATGGAACTGATCCTATTGTTTCAGAGCTATACTATTTCACCATTTCATTGTTAACACCATCGCAGTTTTGACATTCTACTGTTTTTTCCCTTCCCACTTATACCATTTCAATCTTTGCACAACACTGAGAGTGCAGAATTAATGTGAATTACTGTAGTCACAGGACAAGTTGAGTAGTTTACACTGCTGTGCAATTTTGACAATGTAACAGATTGATAGTAACAAAGGCTGATTAGGAACCTAAAGGAAGGGGATCTTCCTGAATCAGTCTGAATTGGCCAATACATCCTGCCCAGATCCTGTACCCCAATGGCCACCTTAAATAAGTGGTGAAACACGATTGATTTTACAGTCCTTCCAGCTACTGCTGGGCTTAAGGGCTGGGGGAGAAAGACATATAATGA